TTTTTTTTTTTTTTTTTTTTTTTTTTTTTTTTTTTTTTTTTTTTTTGGTACTTTGTAGCTCTGCCTCTGTGTCGAATGGCGGTAACAAAGTCGAATCGAGAGCAAAGCGGCTGATCAAAATCGTCAGCACACCGTTTACAGGGACGGTGCACACCGTGCGCCCGTGAAGAAGAGGACCGACTGAAGCTATTGTGAAGCTGCGATCTCCGCACGAATGTTAATGTAATATCGCGCGTACGGTCAAATTAGTCCTAGCGACATTTGTACTGGAGTAATTTTCATATGTAACGTCGGCGGTCAACGCCAATGGCGATGGGAACAACAATCGAGGCGGAGCTCTGTACGTGCACGCACACCGCCAGAGGCATTTTACGCGCTCCTTACGTCCAGTTACTCGTCAATCGACCCTAATAACTTGCAGTTATCGTTCAATAACGCGTCGCGCTGTTTTACATTCTACACGTGACCTGGCCGTTATTAAGTCTTTTCTCATCGCCAGCACTGATTGCCATTTTAAGATGAACGTAGGAACTTCAAAAGACGAACAGTGCAACCGGTAGTTCCGATTTTCCCTTCAATTGTGACCGTTGCCACATCAATCTCGCATTTTCAACTTCCATTTTGCGAAAATACTCCGACATTCCTCTTTTCAAGCACGGTAGAGAACGCCTGGCACTTCGTCCGATAAAAGGAGCATTCCGATGGAAATATTGAATGTCAATCGTCGGGTTGCAAAGCTTTTTTTTCTAACTTAAAATTCAATTCACATGGATTTATGATCCAAGGGACATTTAACGTACCACTGATCAGATCAACGTCGTTTGTTTTAGAAAATTTACATTGCGGAAGAGCTTTCTTGCTGTAATTTACAAATGAACTCACTGTAAATTTGTGGCTTCCTTCTATTAATACAATCTTCGTGGCTTGACAGAAAGTTCCAATATACTATGTTACAGCCATAAATTTCGTTTCCCTCGGCGGTCATCATCGCGTTTGCCCGCGGGCATTGACGAATGTACAAAAAGCTTGAAAGAGAAGACACGATTGATAAAGTCTGCCGAAAGAAAATCGAATATCAGTAGAGTGATATTATTTCGTCATTTTTCCGACAACGAGACACAGATTAACCAAAGACTTCGAGTAGAAGCGGAGAAAAATTTCTTTTACTTCTGATTTCAGATCGATCTTGCAATTGATCTTTCTTTGTTCGATGATTGCACGGAGGATGATTTTGTTGTACTTATTAACGATTAACATAAAAACAGGAGGAAACCTTGAAAGAAATTTGAAACGATGTTTGTTTAAATGCAAAGTATTCAATGAATAAAAACTATGTTAAAATATTCAAATATAATTTACTTTTTTCTATTAAATTACACTATATATAATATTATATACTCGCGACTTGTTTTCGTATCTCATCGTTTTGTTGATGATCCATTTTTACTTCTTGTTTTAGACTGTAGTACGATGGTCCACGAAATGAGATTATGGCGCTACCTAGACACTCTTCTCCATTGTATAAGACGGCAAACTAAAATAAATACAATGA